CTCACTCCTCTCTCCGGCTGCAAAAGCTGTCACTCCTTTTTTTCCCCTTCTTAAATATATTATCACAGAGGCGCTGATTGGTTTGGCCTTGGCCATCGGAGCCGGCTGGCATTGGCTCTGTCAGACACAGGGGAAGCTTCTAGCAGCTTCTCACAGAAGCCACCCCGTAGCGCCCCCCACTACCAAAACCTTGCCACGCAAACCCAACACAGACAGGAACCTACTACTGCCCTTTACTATGTTTTACTACCTTTGTATCATTCACATTTCATGAGGCTAAGCGCGCATTAGTAAAGCAAGTTCATATTCATAGCAAAGTTCTGACAGCCAAAGGTGTACCGCCTCATCAGGTCTGTTCTAAGCCTGTTATTCTACATGTTCTACATGACATCATTACTCTCTGGGAACCGGATGCTTTAGAGTCATAACAAAACAAACAAAAAAATATTCTTGACCTTAAAAATTTAGGAGCGATTAATAATGTTTCTATACACAAATGTTAAAGGTGAACACACAAATCGATATGGAAAAGCTGAGTAAAAAGCAAAAGATAGTGAAACTGAGGGGAAAGGAAAAAAAAAAAAAGATGACAAATGCAAGATCAGTGCCTGTTCTGTTCAGACTCAAATAACCATTACCAGATCTGCAACTTTTCTGATCAGGTTCCATAAACTGTTTCTCTCTTGTAGAAGGACAGGGCTCTACATAATTGTTACATGGGGTCCCAAAAGGAATTACACCAGAACCTCCACAACAGATTATCAGCCTTATCCTCAAGTGGAGGGAAACATCACTATTCTCATATGGAAAAAAAAATAAATATGAGCCAACCTTTGTGAGCCACCCCACAGCAATGAAGAAACACATGTAACTTGCTCTGTGCAGGCAAACAGGCCACAGGGAACCTGTCCAGCAGAAGGTTCAATCTACATCCTCAGACCCTGCAGGTGTCTCTGTTATCTTATTAGTCATTTTATTTGCCAGAATTGAGGACTTTTGTAGATACCATTATAAGGTACAGTAGCTGAATAGTGAACTCAGTGATAAAGACCAAGAGGCATCCAAGTGAGACTAGTTTTAAGGTGAACTGAAAAACATTTTACTCGCTGAATCCTGAAGTCAAGTCAGGATTGTGGCTGACAACCTAAGGAAGAGTTAAGCAGCTCCAGACGCTGCATTGTGCTCAAATTTGGGGTCTTACAGAGCTCTCTTGAAACAGGAGGACCATGTTGTTCAGATTTATTTTTTTCTTGACAGCAGGAAAGTTGCTTAGTTTTGATTTAAAACTGTAGCTAATTTAAGGGGCGGTATACCTTTCCATACTATAATTTATTCTTTTCAATATAAATGAATTCACCTGCTTGCTGTAAACTTCACATGCCATTTAGTTTTAGAATCAGTTCCAATTATCTCCTTATTCAACAAGAATTCAAGACACTTTCCATAGCTCTAGATTATAAGCATCTTAAAGGCTCACAAACTCCTATTAAAAACATGCCCAAACCCATTAAACTTCTTTGTACCTTACCCAACCCTCTGGGAAGGTTAATGCCATCAAAATAAGATCTGATCTAATTTATCAACCTCAATGGACAAGCAGTAGCCATACCACCTCTCAAGACTGAGTCACAAAAACAAGTATCAATCAAGGATATGCTATGCTTCATCTTGGCATCAGAAACTAAAATTCTGCCTTTCTGACCCACCCAAAAAGTTTGTTGTAATCTCATCAAGTTATTAGTACCATAACTCTATGAATTCTTCAAAATATAATTGTTTCCACAGCAATGATAATGGTAGGAATTAAGAAGGAGCCTTGATCAAGCTGAAGTTTGCCTTGGGAGTAATTTTCCACTACAAATGTTACATATAATGAAGACACACATTTTTGGTTTGGGGTTTTTTTTTCCCCACCATTAATTTCTTTTGGACAGTGATCATAACAACGTGTAGTATCACAAATTAATATTTCAGCTAGAAATGATAGCTAGCCCTTCTGGAGTCCTATATTCCAAAAAAGCAGTTCCAGTGAATCCTGAAGAACAGCAGAAACATAGTTCTTGGTTGGCTTCCACACCTTGCTATTAATCTAAATAGGGCTACAAACAAACTAGAAACTTGGCCATATATTTATTGATATAATTAGTTCTTTACATGATTTCAAAGCTTTGTACCTTCATCAGCTTAATTGGAGTCTGCTATACTTGAAATAAATAACCAAGCTGAATCTTCTCTTTTCAAGTCATATTATGTAGGAACTTAAAAATTTCTTTGGCATCAGCACCAGTTTAAAGTCATGATTCAGTGCAACACAAGAAGAATAGTACTTGTTTTGGCACCAAGTGTTCTTTACACCACGCAAACCAGCAATCTGAGACAGCATTACGATTCAATGTTGTAAAGCTGCTTAAAACAAAAGGTTAGGTTAAAAAAAAAAAATCAAGCACTTAACATAACGCACCTCTTGTTAGTTAAATAATGCTGGCGTCTACTGCGCTTCCACCTTCCAATCTGCATTTCAAACATCTGTTTAGCCAAAAGATTCTTTTCTAGGGCCAAACACAGAAGGAAGCATCTCCTTTCCCGCATCCTTAGCTGACAAAGAACAATGCCTCCCATTTCTGAATACATTTCTTAAATTTCCCAGCCTTTCAGGTGTTCAAGGCACATCAGCCTTTCAGTGAGACATGGGCATTTCTGAAAATTTTACCATTTCAGATCTCTGCTACTGCAAAAACATTATTGTCATTCCTTCAAATGGCAATTAATAGATACAACACCTTTCTCCAGACTTCTCTTTGCAGCAATCAAGGTTTAGTGTTTGAAATATCCTTACCTAGGCTGATTTTCCTGGGAAAGATTCTCCCCTCTCTGGTAACCATTGTCTGCCACCTGGGTTGTGGATCGCTTAACAATCTGCTTGAGTTCTTGTTCTAAGCGATCCTGGATGGCTTTCACTGTTTCAGGGATTTTTTTCAGCTTGGCCAGCCCTTTGATGAGTATGCCCATGAAGACCGTGCTGTTCTCCTCTGGATCCAGTTCTGTGTCTTCTTTAATTTCCAGAAGGCTTGTTTCTCTCACTGGAATAGATTTTAAAAGGCATAATTCAAGATTTAAACTATTAAAACCAACACTTAGAACCATGCAGAAGAAGCCTTCACAGAACTCCCACCACTTTGAGTAACCAAGGAATAAACAAGGAAACCAGCAACACTCAGAGTCTGGGGGGGGGAGGCAGTGGATATTTCTGTTTGCTTGGGGGCTTCCCTATACATAAAAACAACAGCCCGCACGTTGGATTGATTCCAAAACAGAGGTCATGGTGTAAGTTACATATTAGTTAGGAAACAGAAGAGGTCTGGTGCAATTAAGGTATTCATAAATGAGAAGGTATTATATTGCTACAAATCCCTTGAATGTGTTTCAAGGAGCTAAAAGCCCTAAGTTTCTAGCCCAGCTGTTTTTTTACACTGTATTCCTCACAAGAGAAGAATTTTCATTATAAACACTATCAAGCTTAACAGACTTCTGATGAATTCGGCAAAGTTTACACTGCCAAAGTGAATGATTGTTTGATGTTATCCTATTCTGCTTTATTACATCTGTCAAGGGGTTGTTGAAGCTACTCAAATCTTTCAGCAAGGCTTCTAGAAAGGAAAAGCAAGAAGAATTAGAGAGGATATTGTGGATACAGTCCTCCTGAAGGAACAGGGATTGCACAGGGAGAAATTCTGTTGCTAAGCGACAAGGAAGAGCAAGGCAAGAGGTACTATGCTTGTTTTAAGTATGTTCATTAATCAACATTTCTTAATTTACAGATAACACCCAGCAACAACAAAAGCATGTCTCTGTTAAAGACTGGGTGAAACATTAATAAATATATTCAAACACTTCTGTGAAGTAAGTGTCTTCAAGGCAAACTCAACTAAAGCATCTTGGAAGATCTACAGTCACGCGGCTTGTTAACAGCCGGAGAGGCAGCACACGGACAAACGGCACTGAAGGATACGGCTGAAGCTCTGCCATCCACCATACCATATCCTTGCGTAGAAATTAAAACCTAACGGCTGTTTCACCTCGCTGGTACTGAACTCTGATAAGGGCTGTTGGATGACAGATGACTCCCGTGGTTTCTACCGCTCAACAGATTTTTTACTTAAATCAAAACTTATCCAAGAACCTGAATAAATGTCAAAAGATCCACCAGAAGGATTTAAATGACATGGCAGAAATGAAAAATGGCACGTCACAAGTAGCATGCAGCCCTGTAGCTGTCTAAAGCTATGACACACTGAACAGAAGAGCATCAGCACCACTAAATTAGCCAAAGATCAAGAAAACAACGTCCCAAAGAGCCCGTATGGTGCCACGTTATAAATAGCATCAAAATAAACAGGTAACATTTATGGCAGTGCCAGCTTACACCAACCTCCACAGCTAAGACTGTTTCCTCCCATCAGTGTAATCCTAACCACAGCACCTCTAGCTCAAACTCACCGTTCACACGCTTTTAAACTTCAACCTAGAGCACCAGTGACACCGCCGGGTAAGAGTGAGGCGAGAATGGATCTTGTAAGGTCATCACACGTCACAGTAGAGAATTACATCAGGTTTTAAGTAATCAACATCAGGGAGATCAAATAGTGCTTTTTTCCTCTCTCTCGCACACACTTTTCTGAGGAAATTTGAGCAAGTTATGGGCCAAGCAACTAGAAACACACTGAATGTGTTAATTTAAAAAAAAAAAAAAGAAAAAAAGTAATGATAAGATGGAGACTCTTCAAACCCACAGAAGCACTAATACCAATTAGAAGTTAACAACTGGATGCACACATATTTCTGCTCAAAGCTCTCATCTATCACACACCTTTCAACCCACGAGGCTGCAAAGCGCTTTGTGCGCTGCGTACGTGATCTACCCACTTTGTTAATGCTACTTGTTATTCTAAAAAAACCCACAGCATGCCAGGCACAAACACAGAAAATGAGCTCTTTGGAGCAAGAGCTATGGAAAAGACAGCACTGGAAATGCTAAAGGAAGAAAGGTTTTAACTTACTGGTTTTAAACTAAATAAAAATAAAAATATCTTGTTCCTCTGAGTTCAATGCAAGTATTTCACAGCCTAAGGAACCTTTTAGAGGAGGACAGGTCCCTGTCATTATGCTGCAGCCCCTTTGTAAAGCAGGCTGTAAATTATTCTTAATATCACACAATGAAAACCCAAGAGGGAGGACATACTGCTGGATCCAAATGTGAGGACAGCATTTAAGAGGACTAAAGGCAGCAATCTTGCTGAGAACTCTGCCAGCACACGGAGGTGAATGCTCTTCCATTTTCAAAAGAGCAAACCAATTTTGAAGATCCTCAAATAGTCAGGACATTGATTTACATCTCTTACAAACAACAGCAAAGTGAATAGTTCAATATCTAGTAGCGACACACTGGTATATAAGTTTTGTTAGATGTGGTCTTTTGATAAAACAGTAGGAACTGTGTTTCCTGCACATTCTGCCTATTAAACAGGTATCCTGGGTAGCTTTGGGGGCCCATTTATCTGTAAGATCTGACAAGATCCCAACCCTGGGCAACTGAAGATGTTCTTTTTCTGCATCTTCCCCACTTCAAACATCCTCTTCTGCCATTTAATGTCATCAAGGGGTTATTTGACCACAAAGCTTTGGCCCAGGAATCAGCCCCTCCTGTTCCCTACCTCTTCAAAAAAGGCATCAAAGTAGAGAGGCGTTTGTAAAGAAGTTCACCTTTAAAATTGCAATCCCACATGCTATTTTCTGTGGGCAGAGGAGCTCCATGGATGAAGGAAGATGTCCCTACAGATCAGCTGTCAGATCTGAAACCTTCATCTGTGTTTACTCTTAAACTGAGAATATGAACGACTTCGTTATTCATTGGTATCAAGACAAAAGCAAGATTGTCAGAACCTATTCCTAGCTTTCTACATTCACCAGTTTCTACCTGAAATGCTTCTGTAAAACATCCCTTTAAAGGGGTAAGATCATCATTCACGCCATAAGCACTTGCTTTATGTAGTGAAGCCATGAAAAATTAAATTATCCTATGGATGTTTTCAATGATTGTTTTTACAAATTATTCTAAATTGTGGATCTGCTATTCAGATTTGATTAACCTCTTCTCCTTTGTGATTTATCAAAGAGAAAAAAAAGGAAAAAAAGTCTGATTTTAATTAAAACCAGCTTCAGTATATTAAAAAATAATACAGGTAGAAAACACCAAAGAAGAATTCCATAAAATTTCTTCAGTAATACCAAGCAGTGAATTTCTCCAACCTCCTTGAGAGTTTATCAAGAGAAATGTGATGTCAGCAAATGAATATTTTAAAATTTAAATTATTAGTTGCCCCTCTCCCCCATAATGAAGCCTTTGAACTTGAATTTGCAGTTTTATGCTAAAAAAAACAAAACAGCTTCAACATACTGCTTTGTTTTCCCATGTCAGCTATCAACTGTTGTACATAGCCCCCTGCAAACCAATAGAAATACCGGATTGAGTGAAGTCTGATGGAGGCTTTTCCAGATCAGTTTGATGTGTAACTTGAAATGTTTTTAGCTAAAATGACCTCTTTGAAAACCTAAATTTCAGTATCACTTAATGATTTCAAGTGGTTTTCATGGTTTAATTCCATTCAAAGACAACACCACACAGTATCACAGAATGGTTGAGGTTGGAGGGGACCTCTGGAGGTCATCTGGGCCAACCACCCTCCTCAAGCAGGGCCAGTTGACCAGGACCATGTCCAGATGCTTCTGAGTATCTCCAAGGATGGAGACTCCACGACCTCCCTGGGCAACCTGTGCCAGTGCTTGGTCACCCTCACAGTGAAAAAATATTTCCTGACGTGCAGAGGGAACCTCCTGTGTATCAGTTTGTGCCCATGGCCTCTGGCCCTGGTCACTACTGAACAGAGCCTGGCTCCATCCTCTCTGCACCCAGGTATTTATAGACATTAGTAAGATCTCCCTTGAGCCTTCTCTTCTCCAGGCTGAGCAGTCCCAGCTCTCTCAGCCTTTCCTCAAAGGACAGATGCTCCAGGCCCTTCGTCATCTTCATGACCCTTCACTGGACTCTCTCCAGTATGTCCACGTCTCTCTTGTACTGGGGAGCCCATCACCGGGCCCAACACTCCAAGTGCAGCGTCACCAGTGCTGAGTAGAGAGAAAAGATCACCCCCCTCAACCTGCTGGCAATACTTTGTCTAATGCAGCCCAAGACACCTTCAGCCTTCTTTGCAGCAAGAGCACTGTGCTGGCTGCACATGTTCAACTTTACGTCCACCAGGACCGCCAGATCCTTTTCTGCCAAGCTACTTTCCAGTCAGCGATCCCCAGCATGTCGCACTGCCTGAGGTTGTTCATCTCCAGGGGCAGGACTTTATAATTCCTCTGGCTGAACTTCACGAGGTTCCTGTCAGTCCATCTCTCCAGCCTGTCCTGGTCCCTCTGGATAGCAGCAGAACCCTCTTGACCACATCAAGTTGGTCAAGCATGAATTCCCCTGGGTGAAGCCATGCTGACTACTCCTGATGATTTTCTTGTTCTAATGATCTCTGAAAACTGCTTATGAAATGGAACGTTTAAATATGGTCTCTCAAAAGCCTCCTAAGACAACAATCTTAAGGAGTGATGATTTTGCCACATTCTCTAATGAAATACGCAGCCATTTTCCAAAATTTTTCATCACTGAAGTAGTGCATCTGAAAACGCAGAATTCCGTGTTTAAGCAGTCAAAAATCTACCCTCAGTTTAAATCACTAGGAAGTTGAATCCTGCATCATTGATTCATCACCTCCACAGTTACAAAGGAGGAAACTTCCCTGACAGCTCCCTGGTTTGACGATGCCCTATAAAAATGTCTGTTCCAATTGATGATACCCTCATTTGTACAGTTCTGCCATTTCACAAGAAAGAAACCTGCTGCAAGAGGCATTTTAAAGCTCCAGTCTGATCCCCAGAAAAGCCAATGTTGATAACTCTTTTAAGCAAAGCAGCTAAAGAAAAGACTCTTGGGCCTTGTTTTTCATTCCAATGAATGGTCAAAATTTGC